ATGAGATCTTATCCATCTGCTACTTCTAGCTTGAATTTGATTAACTTCTCTTGAGTCTTAGTCTTCTCATTTCTAAAATGAGGATAACCCGAGTACCCTTCCTTATAGAATTCTTGCAGACTCAGTTAAAACAGTAAAATGTTTAGCACCTAGGTTCAGTACCCAATAAGTATAAGTGATTTTTATGGGAAGGAATGTTTCCTGGGAAGGGGAAATTAATGATTAGCAGTAGGAACCAGGCCTCTTATATTTTAAGTCTATCTCGTATGTGAGGAGGGGCTGAACACCTGACAGAATCGTTCTCTCTACGGCTCCATTTTTTCTGTATTAAGTTAGTTCATTTACTCCTTACAGAACATTTATGTCAAGTACAGTGTGCAGAGGTGGTTTTAAGAACTAGTTTGATCTACAAACATTTTTAAGTCCAAGGCTGCTGCTTTTACAGGTCAGTCAGGAGATCCTAGAGCTATTAAATACAACAACAGCCAAGGAACAGTCCATTGTTGAAAAGTTTCGCTCTCGAGGTCGGGCCCAGGTGCAAGAGTTCTGTGACTATGGAACCAAGGAGGAGTGCATGAAAGCCAGTGATGCTGACCGGCCTTGTCGCAAGCTGCACTTCAGGTCGCTTGGGAGGGAAAGAGGTGGGATTGGGCCTCTAGAAGCAGTCATGCCTTTTCAGCACACTCTTTCCAGAGTCTTTAGGGGTTCTTTAATCCCATTATTTATATTTTGGTTTGTCTAAGCCCTCCAGACTTGAAGATTTACTTTCAGAAGTGGTGTCCTGTGGGAGAGAATATAGGCTGCCTCTCCCAGATAGGTGTGAGATTTTTTAAGTGTCCCACCAGAATGTCCCTTCTACTTGCAAAGCATCACTGTCTCTGAGCCCCAGTGAAAGTTAAAGATCTCTGGAAGAAGTGTAGTCTTAGGGGAAATAAGACCCTAAGCTCTTAGGTCACAGTAGTTTGCTCTAACCAGCAAATCATTCCTTCCTAGTACTGTTTTCTTTTCTGTCTTAACATAAGGAAGCAAGTCTTTGCCCAGAGAGGAATTAATGATTGTCTTTAATGTTAGTTAACCTGCTCCCTTCTTGTAAAACTCTTGGAGGAAGCTCTAATAGAGAAAAAGGGGGAAGGAGGATAGGAAAATTTTTTTAAAAATTTGGAACTTGAACTGTATGATCAAACTCTAGAACACTATTTTGCTTCTGACTCTTGCTTTTTATTTCCCCAGGCGAATCATCAATAAACACACTGATGAGTCTTTAGGTGACTGCTCTTTCCTTAACACATGTTTCCACATGGATACCTGCAAGTATGTTCACTATGAAATTGATGCCTGCATGGATTCTGAGGCTCCTGGCAGCAAAGACCATACACCAAGCCAAGAGCTTGCTCTTACACAGAGTGTTGGAGGTGACTCCAATGCAGATCGTCTCTTCCCACCTCAGGTACCTGTCTGCTCAGAAAACTCACTTCACCTTATGGACTTATGTCCATGTAGGGCAACCATGTGTGTAAGAACCAAAAAACACTGCCATTGAGTCAATTCTGAATCATAACAACCCTATAGGACAGAGTAGAACCACCACAGAGGGTTCCCAAGACTGTAAATCATATGGAAACAAGACTTCCTCATTTTTCTTTCACAGAGCAGCTGGTGAGTTCGAATGGCCAACCTTTTGATTAGCAGCCCAGTACTTTAATCACAGCACTACCAGAGCTCGTGTATGTGTAAGAAAGCAGGGCATAGTCCAGCAATGTCTTGCTGATTGGGAATGGAGTGGGATAGATAGATCTGTTTATAAAGGAGTAGGAAAATAAATAGAAATAAGGGTCTCGGGCTATGAATCTGAGCATGAAGATGACCAAATACCACCTCTTGCAGTGGATCTGTTGTGATATCCGCTACCTGGATGTCAGTATCTTGGGCAAGTTTGCAGTTGTGATGGCTGACCCACCCTGGGATATTCACATGGAGCTGCCCTATGGGACCCTGACAGATGATGAGATGCGCAGGCTCAACATACCAGTATTGCAAGATGATGGCTTTCTCTTCCTTTGGGTCACAGGCAGGTAATGCAGTTCAAAGATGTGTAGGTGTGGTAGATAGTACAGAGTGACTGGGTGGCAGATAAAATCCTGGGTTTTCCTAGCCTTGCTATTGAATGTATGAGTGATTCAGTTTTTTTTCCCCCCTCTACTGAGACCTAACATCTATTTATAACATAAATGATGCCTTGAATTATATTTACCTCTACATTTTTTCCTTGGGAAAGGTAAGGTCATTGAGAATAGGTACTATTTAAACTTTTTAATTCTTAGATCTACCCTGTTTCTCTAATGGTATCTTGTAGGTAAAAATTCATTGAATGTTTACTGGAAAAAAAAAAGTATCTTCATATTTACATTTATCAAATATTTTAGAGGGATTAAAAATAATGGGTATGGAAGTGACTATTAACCCTTATTTCCTTCCAGGGCCATGGAGTTGGGCAGAGAATGTCTAAACCTCTGGGGGTAAGAAAAAATAATTTTGTTGGCTTTTTTTTTTAAAGAAATACCTACTGCTGTAGTTATTGAATCTGTTCCCTTCTCCCAGAATGTTGCTCCCTGTGATTCCTTGCCTTTGTAGATGGTACTACCCCTAAACTGTCAAAGCCAGTTAAAGCTCTAGTTCTTTGTTTTGTGTCCCACAGTTATGAACGGGTAGATGAAATTATCTGGGTGAAGACAAATCAACTGCAACGCATCATTCGGACAGGCCGGACAGGACACTGGTTGAACCATGGGAAGGAACATTGCTTGGTGAGCCACAGCAGGGCCCAACTCATTAAGTAGACCATAAAGAGGAATTGTTTCTTATTGAAGAAAAATTTAAAAACTGGGGTTTCATAAGGTAATCTGTTCTCTGTGATGAGCAGGTTGGTGTCAAAGGAAATCCCCAAGGCTTCAACCAGGGTCTGGATTGTGATGTGATTGTGGCTGAGGTATGTGTTTCCCCAGGCACTCAAAGAATCCACATTTTATTATTACCAGTCATCCAAGTCATGTGTATTCTTTATACTGAGATCTCTCATTTGAATCATAAACATAATGGATTAGGGTTAGAATTGTAATCTTGGGTAATTTAAAAGTGGCTAGAGCCTTTATTTTCTAGGTTCGTTCCACCAGTCATAAGCCAGATGAAATTTATGGCATGATCGAGAGACTGTCACCTGGCACTCGCAAGATTGAGTTATTTGGACGACCACACAACGTACAGCCCAACTGGTAAGGTGACCAGAGAATAGGTTAGGCCTAATTAGTAGAGCTATTACCTCACATTCCACTAGTCTATAGATAGGCTTCAGAGGATTTCTGAACCATGTAAACTTGTATTTAAACTGTCCATAGTTTTCTACTATTCACTGGAAACCCAGAAGGTTGTAGGACCTGAACCCCCTAAGGTCACCAATCTCTTGCAATCCAAGTCCTCAGTCATTCTGTGGGATGTATTAGATGATACACTAATTTGCCCCCTGGTGGTTACCAAGAATCTACTTGATTTGTCAACATGCTTGACCCTTTTGGAGCCCTGATGGTGTGGTGGTTAAAGCCCTCAGCTACCAGCCAACAGTTTGGTGGTTCAGATCCACCAACTGCTCCATGGGAGAAGGATGTGGCAGCCTACTTTTGTGAAGATTTACAGCCTTGGGAACTCTATGGGGCAGTTCTAGTCTGTCCTATGGGGTCATTATGAGTCAAAATTGACTCTGATAGTGAGTTTGGTTTGGTTGGGGGTCTGACCCTTTTAACAGAGTTTTAAAAGATGTGCTACCAGCATTTTACTTGCCCAAATAATACTCACTATCAAAAGAAACTGTGAAGTAGACCTTGCTAACCATCCATTATTAACCCTAGGTTATACAGATCCAGTCTGTTTTAACTCCAGACTCTGCCTAATTCCTAATCAGTCATGCCATCATATACTACCCTAATGTTAGAGTCTTTTTAAAAGAATGGCATATCTGACAAGATGAAGGGCAGTCTTAATAAAAGAGATGCATCTGACAATATTAAGCCCTTTAATTCTAGGATTTGTTTCCCTTTCCTTCTTTTGCTTCAGGATCACCCTTGGGAACCAACTAGATGGGATCCACTTACTAGATCCAGATGTAGTTGCCCGGTTCAAGCAAAGGTATCCAGATGGTATCATATCTAAACCCAAGAATTTATAGAAGCACTCCTCAGAGATAAGCAAAGAACCTATAGCCATGGCTCTGCAGGCTGCACCTCAAGCCTGGTATTACTGGATGAGAGTTCTTTCCTCCTTATTTAAATAAAAAACTGTAGTGGGAGTTTCAGAGTCAAATCCTGGCTCTGTGACTTAATAGTGTGCGATCTTTTACAATTCATCTCTCAGTATGACTTCTCACATGTTAAATGGGAATATTACCAACCTCAACCTTGGGCTCTTTTCAGGGTTCAAATTAAGTGAATGCATGTCAAGAATCAAAATGTGAATTATAAAATAGGAATGTATGGAATCAAAGTGAATAGCATTTATCACTATAAAGATGGTAATTAAGAAGAGGTTTATCTGGATAGCATTTCTCAAGGTAAATATTTGGGTTTTACTTAGGTTATCATTGCTAGGGCTATAATGCAAGTGAAGCCGCACCTCTGGCCTGTCTTTAAAGGATATTTCATCAAACATGAGTGAACACAACTTATTTAAATTTTGGTGAAACATCTTGTATTAATTTAAGAATGTACGGTTCTGCCTCTTACACACATAAGATGTGATAACTCAGATAGGAAGACTATAAAAACAGACTTTGTAAAAAGAAATAAGAAAACTCCTAGGTGATGTTATTCCCCTATAGTCCAGTGTGCCTGGTGTATTTAAAACCTTTGCTTTCAGTGTGTAGATGTGATAGTAACTGTTCCCTGTTTGAATAATGGAATGCAATCTTTCATTCTCTTTAAAATGGATGCACACAGTGGTATTTTTTCCTAGGCTCAAAGCTGAGTACTCTCCCATTTTAATAATCTTTTCAGTAAATCCTGTGATAATTATACCAACAAATTTTCTCAAACAACAACCCACCACCACCCCACCATCTGTATTTTCTGCTTGTCCATATTCCTTTCACCTTTTCTTCTGCTGTTGTCACTGGTATCTCTGCGTGTACTTTAAAGTAAAAAGCAGTTTCATATTACAGCAAACTCAATGGCTCTGCTCCATAGCCTGGCCCCTACTGAAGAGAAAGAAAAGGAAAGAAGCAGGAAGGGCCATCATAGGTTGACATCAGGAACCAACAGAAGCCCAGTTCGTGTTTCAAAATAGGCTCTTGGACACATTCCCAGCAGAGAAGTCTTCATTTGCTTGGAGAACAAAAAGGACTACTTCACAAATACCACTGTGTTTGAATTTCTAGAGGCAACCCAGGCCAAGAATACATCCCTGAGAGAAAAAGATACACAAACTTAGAATTCCAACCTAGATACAATCTTTTTATTATCTTAAACAGGTTCCTAGATAATTTCTACAGCATCAAAGTGAGATGGTATTAACCAATAGGAATACAAGAGAATGGGCCTAAATGTCAGAACTCGAGGCAATAAGGTAGAGCCCTGTCCTGATCTACTGGAGAGGATCTGCAATAGGAAATACCAATCTTTTCATGGATAAAGGTAAATCCCGGGGAAATTTTGAGAAAAGCAAAATCTTCAGAATTAAACATCCTCCTCATCCCTACCATCTTCAGCACCTTACTGTGTTACATGGTTTGTCATCTGCAGGCAACCTCTCATATATTATAAAACATTACCAATATACTATTTATCCATTTCTCGCCGAACTCTAACTCCCCAAGTGGTCTGATTTGCACTAAGGAGATAAGCTAATTCTCAGACTCACTGACAGCTTAGTGCTATTCTCTCTGTACTTTTTAAAAACATACATAGCGCTAATCACTGTTACATCTTATTTGGCTATGTGGCAAATAATAAGCTCTTTTTAAGGAGGAAGAACTTTTCAAAGTTCAGTTAGGATACACATATAAAGAGAGCAACCTACTCCACCTAATATAAAGCAACATTGATTATATGCTCAAGGTTACCATGTTTCTCAACAGTTAATTTAGCAATACTTAACATTACAAGAAAGGAGCTCTGGTAGCATAATGCCTAAGGCACTTGACTGCTAAACAGAAGGCTGGCGGTTAAAACCCACCAGCCACTGCTCAGAAGGAAGATGGGGCAATCTACTTCTGTAGTGATACTGCCTTGGAAACCCAAGGAGGGGTCGCTATGAGTCGGGTCCGACTCAACAGCACATAACAACAACAACATTATAAGAAAACTGCTAACTCACCTGCAGTGCTTCACCACACACTCATTGCTGCAGTACTCATTGTCCCAGTCCTTACTCACGACAGGAGGGTTCTCACACCCTGACCTCACACATCGAGGCTGGGGTGAGAGCGTCACAGGTGACGCACTCACCAGTTCAACATCCATCTGAGAAGGAGACTCGACCTATGAGAGGAAGAGGGTATCAAGCATGGATTAAACTGCTAGCTGCCTAGCCAGCCAGCTAGTCAACTTTGCCCTGACAGTCAGTGGAGTAACAGGTGTTAGAATCCCTCACATACAGCAGGGAAATTCTTAGTCTCTCCCTCTACAACCCAAATATACAACTTGCCAAGCATACTGACATGAAGTCTATTAGGGCACAAACTAGTGCTCACTTTAATCTTACCCACCACTGACTTTATTCCACACTTGAATTATATCCCTTAAAGTATCACATCAAAAGTGGAATGTGAGTATAAGTTGAGTCACCTGAACGAAGCTGGATGGGAAAAGCTAAGAGAAAAAAAACCAGATACTGCTAGAAAAAGGGAAAGAACTTGGAGATTCATAGTTATCTCCTGGTAGGGTATTACTTGTTTCTTTTAAGCGACTGCTTCATTAATTAGAGCTAAAATCTCAAAAAGTCCCATATTTCAAGATGACTGCTGGTCATGTGCAAGTTAAAACTAGGGTAGGCATCTGTTTCTCTCTTTTGCAAGGTAAAGACCAGCTATATTTTTTTGGGAACTATTTCCCCCTCATAGAAAACCAAGCCAAGCAGTAAAGACCTAGGATAAATGGAATGATTCACATTACCAAAACATCGGGTCCTTGAATAGACACCTCTAAAAACTACACTTAGGCTGTGTCCTCTCTATTCAAACTACTGTGTTGCCCTGCTTAGTTACAGTGGTCTAAGAAAAGAGCCCTGTTATGTTTCACTATCTTCGTTCACTGCAGGAAGTTTAATATTCTCTTGGTGCACCAGGGATTAAATGCTAGTAGTAACCCCCACTTTTACTGGGTCAACCAAAATTGCTCTGTCTACTTCCAGTCTAGAGGAAAGATTTGAGAACAGAAGCTCACCTCAGGAACTACATCTGTGATCATCTCACAGATTGTCTCAGGAGAGGTTGCCTCCACTGTATGGGTGTCAGGGCTGCTGTTCATAGGCTGCTCAGGACTACTTTCCACAGTTGGTGGGACTAAGGTAGTCTGCATTTTCAGATTAGGCCGAGGCACTATCTTGAATTGCAGAGGAGGTGGTTGTTGTTGTAAATTCATTCGAATTTTCTGAGGTGGAGGTTGTTGCATGGCCTGGAGTGGGGGAGGCTGCTGCAGAATGGTCACTTGCTGCTGAGTGGGGGGCTGAGGCATCTGTTGTAACGGAGGGGGCTGTAGTCGGGGTGGAGGCAGTTGCATAGAAGCAGCAGCTGCTGCCGCTGCCTGCAACACTGACCGAGTGACAATCTGGGCTTGCTGACTGGGCTGGATAGTAGCTGTACTGGTTTGGCCTAGCTGGAGCCCCCGGGAAGTCACCACTGTGGCTGGGATAACAGTAACCATGCCTCCTTGAGACATGGTAATAGAAGAGGGCAACATCTGTTTGGTAATAATCAACTTGGTAATATTAGGCTGGCCCCCAGCCCCGGAAGATGCTTGGTTTGTGACATACGATGAAAGTGTGGAGTTAACAACAATGGAAGGGGACAGAGCAGGGGGCTCTGTTGAGGCTGGTGCTGGAGATGCTGGGTCAACAGTAGCCATAGGAGGTGGAGAAGGAGTCTGTGCTGGTGGCACTGGATCCAATTCTACTGTCTCCACAGTGGCCTAAAAGAAGACAGGAAGAAAAAAAACAGTCATTGGGAAATTTACTCTCTACTCCAGGATGTACTTACTGTAATCACCTCAAGAAAAGATAGAAATCAGGTTTTTAAAAGGAGCATCTGTGGGTGGTACCCTGGCAAAAGTAAAGAATGGAAACGACAAATAAACTCAGAAAAAAGGTTTGGCAAGGTTTTATACATGGGAAATAACAAGAAAACTATTAGGAAATTTTTAAGCTTTATTAATAGAGTATTAATAGGTCCCACGGGGTATTTGGGACCTCTGGTAGCATAGTGCCTAAGGCATCTGACTGCTAACCAGAAGTGTGGAGCCCACCAGCCACTCCTCAGAAGGAAGACTGGGCAATCTACTTTTGTAGTGATACTGCCTCAGAAACCCAAGGAAGGGTTACTATGATTTGAATCCAACTCAACGGCAGAGAGTTTGTTTGTTTTTTTTTTTTTACAGGGTATTTATTTTTTATACCTGCTGAAAAACACAGTTCCGAAAAATTTCTTAATGGTTTAAGTATCCACCTAGAGTATCCAAATACAGTAACTCTCTTACCTGACACTCTTGGTTGTCTTTATAAGCAGCCAGAGCCTTCAGATACTCTTTCTTGGCAGCTTCAGTTTTCCGCTTATAAACCTGCAGGGAATACAGATTTTAAAAAAGATCTCCATACTCCTAGAAAAGACTTTTATTCTCTATTCATCAACAAATGACAATTCACCTCAGTGTAATCACTTTTAGTGAATACACTTCTAACAGTTAGGATAGCCTCCATGGCACACTCCAATGAACATTCCTCTGAAAGCCAGCCAACCAATCAATGAGAGTCTTGTCAGAATAACTATACTTCTAACACCAACCCTACCTCTGTACACCTACCTCTGTAAACAAAAACTCTATCCAAAAACTATATATAAGCAGTTTGCTCAGCTTGAGGACCATATTCGCCCTTAAATTGTAGGCAAAGATGGTTACAGTTCCTCCCATTCTGCATGCCCCTCCTCCCATCAAAAACTGAAGTCTATTTCCCCTTCCTTTGAGTCTAGACTAGCACTGTCACTTGCTGTGACCATTACTAGCTAAAGTGATACTGAGACTCAAGAGGGCTTGAGGCATCTGATTCGCTTTCTTAAAATGTTGTTCTATGACTCGGATCTTAAAAGTTTGGAAGCGGCCATCTAGATGCAACGATGGGTCTCTTCTCATCCAGAGCAAAGAAGAATGGAGAAAACCAAAGATGCATGGAAACAATTAGTCCAAGGAACTGGAACACCATGTGATCCTCAGCCTATATGACCATGAGATCAGAAGAACTAGATGGTGCCCAGCTACCACCATCAACCACTTGGAGAGGGATCTCTGTAGGAGATCCTAGATAGAGTAGGAGAACAATATGGAACAAAACTCAAAATTACTATTTAAAAAAAAAAAAAGGTTTGCTGGTCTGATAGAGCCTGGTGAAACCCTTGAGACTATGGCCCCTAGCTGCCCTTCAGGTCTGGAATTGAACTCACTCCTGTGGGTTCCAGCCAAATAAAGACCAACATATGGGCTAAACATTTACATAGGTAGATACACTCCTTGGAGAGATCAATCATGGGAGAACAGAAGGGCAGTTCATGCACAAGAGAGACCACTTGGGGGTCAGGAATGCATGGGAGGGAAAGACACAGGGAAGAGGTAACTATGGGGAGGAACTGGGAAGAGAGCTGTTACATTGTAGGAAATAACAGTCAATGTCATGAGTTAAAATGTGTATGAACTGCTGTATGGAAAATGAATTTGTTCTGTAAACTTTTACCCAAATCACAATAAAAATTAAAAAAAAAAAAATGCTGCTCTAAGTCTGCCATACTTTAAAGGAGCCAGTCTAGCTTAGTTGGAGGATGAGAAGCCTTGAAAAGGAGAACCAAGGCATGCCAGTCAACAAGCAGCACCAACTGACAGATATGGGAATAAGGGCATCTGGCCAGCCATACGAATTATCATTTGACTACAACCACAGGAATGAGCCTGGGTAAGAACAGACAAATGACACAACTCACAGAATCATGAGAAATAATAAACTCTCTTGTTTTAAGCCATTATATGTGGGGTGGTTGTTCAGCAGCCATATATAACTTACATAGGTAAATAATAAATTCAGCTTTATGTTTCAGATATGGGTCTGACAGAAGCTGAGAGTACAGGAGAAAGATAATGATAGCCATCTTCTTTTTCAACTGTATATTTATACAATATCACAATTTCATTTATTTTCTTAACCCAGAATAAACTTTAAAAAATTATTATATTGTTGAGAATACGCACAGCAGAATATACACCAATTCACCAGTTTCTACATGTACCATTTAATGATACGGATTACATTCTTTGACTTGTGCAACCATTCTCACCCTTCTTTTCTGAGATGTTCTTCCTCATTAACATAAATGTACTGCCCCCTAAGGTTCCTATTTAATCTTTTGAGTTGCTGTTGTCAATCTGGTCCTATATAGATAGCTCTTAAAAGAGCATAATGCTGAAGGCAGACCTTTTTTTATAGGTTTAACTAAACTACTGTGTGGTTTTAAGATTTCAGGGGTATTTTTGGTTTAAGGTTTAAAGACGATCTCAGGACACTATTTTCAGGTGACCAACTTTCATGGCTTTTAATATTTCCATATTAAAATATGGAACTCTGCTCTGTATTTTCCCCCTTTTGATCAGATTCTTCTAAGGAATCTTTGATCAAAATATTGAGTAATGGTAGCTGGGCACCATCTAGTTCTCATCATATGGCAAAGCAGGCAGCTATTCATAGAGACAGTTAGCCACACATTGCATGTCTTCCTCCTACTCCTGACTCTTTTCCTCTGTTCCAGGCAAGCAGAGACCAAGTGTTGTGCCTTTAAAAGTGGATGTCCACTTGCAAGCTTTTAAGACCTCAGGATTCAGGATAGTGTATAGATGCCCTACTGTCCCAGATTGTATCATCGAACTAAAAGGTAGAACAGAGGCACCAGACATGTTACTTGGCTAATTAACTGGAATGTCATAAAACTGACCATACCAGATTAAACTTTCTTAAGGGAGATTAACTGCAAGTTTTCAACTTTATATTAGGCATGTGAGGAAACCCTAATCAACTTTTTTTTAATTTTATTGTGATTTGGGTGAAAGTTTACAGAGCAAATTCATCTTGCATACAGCAGTTCACATACAATTTGTCTCATGACATTAACTGTAATCTCCCACAATGCAAAAGCTCTCCTCCCACTTCCCCACCATAGCCACCTCTTCCCTGTGTCCTTCCTTCCCATGCAGTCCTGCCCCCCAAGCTGTCTCCCTGTGCATACACAACCCATCTATTCTCCCATGATTGATCTCTCCAAGGAGTATATCTACCTAATGTAAATGTTCAGCTCATATGCCTGTCTTTTGTTTGGCTGGCAGACACAGGAGTAGGTTCAATTCCAGACCTGAAGGGTAGCTAGGGGCCACAGTCTCAGGAGTTCCCCCCAGGTTCTATCACATCAGCAAACCTGGTCCCATTTTTTTTTAATTTTGAGTTTTGTTCCACATTGTTCTCCCATTCTATCCAGGATCTCCTACAGAGATCCCCCTCCTAGTAGTTGACAGTGGTAGCTGGGCACCATCTAGTTCTTCTGGTCTCATGGTCATATAGGCTGAGGATCACATGGTGTACCAGTACCAAGTGACTGCCTAATACTATAGATGGGAAAAATGAGGCTTAGAAAAATTAAATATTTAAAACTAAACAGTTAAAAACAAATCAGGAATTATTATAACAGACATGTGAAAGGCACATGGAGCTTAGAATTAAAGAACGTGATTTGTGTCTCAGCTTTACCACTTAATTTATGTGACCTTTACTAGGTTGTGTACTGATAGAACCCTAGTTTCCACCTTCAGTTAAAATGGGAAAATGGTAGCTATTTTAAAAGGTTACTTTGAGGATTCAGTGTTTTTATAACTATTAATACTTTTTAAGTGGGTTTTCTGGTTTCAGTGCATGGTTGCAACTTCTAAGATAAAGACCTGACATTAATAAGGGCATGTAAGAAAATCAGGAAAACCTCTTGAGTTTTTATCCCTGTAATCAAAAACTTCTACAATATTTACTATCTGTTAGTTGCTCATTATTGCTCACCTGTTTCTGTTCTTCTCCAAGACTATCCCACATAGAGGCCACAATTTTTGACACCTCCCCAAAAGTGGCATTGGGATTCTGTCCCTTGATAGCAGCCTGTGTATCACGGAAAAATAAAGCATATGCTGAAACTGGTTTTTGAGGTTCATTAGGATCTTTCTTCCTTCTCTTCTTTGGAGCCTTCTGCTTTTTCCCTGCTTCCACCACAACTGTCTTCTGGCAGGGAAGTTGCTGTGAGGGAAAAAAAAAAAAGAGAATTACAAGAAGGAAGAAGGGAAGTACTATGTCCGGAAAAATGTAAAAAAAAGGACTGTTATCTGTGGGAAAGCTATCTAGCCACATGGATGAAATTTTCAGAAATGCTTAGAGGCAATAGGATTAAAAGACACTAATAAAGTATGTGAGAACCCATAAGAATGGATATTGGGAGGATTATTATAAACTGAAAGTTTATGAAAAGGCAGGACCCCATACCCAGAAATAACAGAGGAAAGGGCAGGGCAAGAATAAGGAATAGTGATTAGGTTCTATATACCAAGAGTCTTATCCTAGAGTATCATGGCAAAATTGACTTTGGCAGGGAATGCCTCACCCTCCGGAAATCCTCAACACCATCCTCATGAAGCGAACCAGTAGGTGAAGGGGTGGTTGAAAGACGATCCTCAGGTGACTGAGCAGGTGGCAGGATGGTGCCACCCCCTAAGCTCAAACCAAGTTGAGAACTCAGTTCTGACTGATCAATAGTTGTCAACTGGCTATGCGCCATCAAGCCAGACGTCATGTCTGTCATTGGTACATCAATTGTGACAGGTGGGTTGGCACTATACTGAGTTCCTATAGAATGGTCCAAGTCCTGAGAGAAGCAGAAGGACTAATTAAACACTAAATATAAAAAAACACCATCCTTTCCCCCCTGAATTCAGGATAGTGTATAGATGCCCTACTGTCCCAGATTATATCATTATTTAAACACTACAAAACATAAAATAACTTGTCTATACATAAAACAGAACGAGCTTATTAGCAAAGTACAAAAATTCCAAATTCACTTCTTTGCACTCAGAGGCTTATTCCAAAGTAACTGAACAATCAGAAAGTCTTAATTTTGGACAAGTTAACTTAAGAACAAACAAATTATTCAGTAATCTCGAAGACAGTGACCACAGTCGGCATAAAGAAAAATTTGTCCTCAGAGCCCTCCCAAAATTTAAAAAGCTTTTAAAGTTGCAATACATAGGCAAGCAGCATAAATAAAGCCAATGTTAGAGATGTTTGGCATCAAATGTAGAGGGTAGAGATGTGCTACTGATGAGATGTGCTGGAAGCCCAACACACTGATTTACAGCACATATTCATTCACAATACATTTGTCTGACCGTTTTTGAATAAATCTCTCAAAATGTCAGCTATCACACTCCTGCCTATCTTAATCCTAGAATATTAATGCTGTAATAAAAGGGAAGAAAAGAAAACTTTAATTAGGCAGTATACTGAATGAGCACAAGTTTTCACATTGAGTAAAAAGCAGAAAATGCTTTCTCCCCGCCTCCAAAAAACACTTATTTCACTTCAGGGTTAAAATTAAACGTTTATAATTTTAAATATTTTTTTTTTAAGTAAAATTGACCCAAATGGTAATTCTCATTTAGTCAGGGAAAATTAAGTCTTTGTTGGTTAGCCTTTAGCCCCAAAATGGAAACAAGTAATACCCAAGTACAGCAGGGAAAAGAGTTACTTTTTTGTCTTCCTACCAAGCCTATGAGCCTGGGTAAGCCTGATAATGCTTTGCCCCTTACCATGGTCAAGCCCCCACTCAGGAGCCCCCCGCCCTGCTCCATCAAGCCATGGGTCATGCCCACAGGCATGTCCAATGTCTGGACCCCATATTGGGCTGAAAAGCTGCCATCCTGTGAGGAAGAAGGGTCTGCCAGGTCATCAAAGTGGCCAACCACATCTGAGACAGCCAGTGAGGGATCAGAATCCAAGGAGATAGGTGGAATTTCAAATTCCTCATCACCCAAGCTTGGTGTATGGAATGTCTGTAGGGGAGAAAAAGGAGAAAAGAATTAGACAGTGGGAAGAAGAGGAACTGCATACTGTTAAGTGAAGAACATGGCTGGGTACTGGCAATTCTCAGTGTACCTCTCTTCAGTTAAGATCCTACTTTTCTTATCAATTTCTTAGGACCTACTTAATTTTATAAAGAAACCTCTTATTCCTCATACGGTTGGTCATATGGCACGTACAAGGCTGCCAACATCAGTAACTTATCTTTTTTCTGCCTTTATCATCTTGCCTAACGTACTATGCCTATTCCTCTAATGAATAATTCTTTGAGCACCATTAGTAAAGACCCAACCTATATAACACCTCTTAGCTATAATGCTTGGAATCTCTCTGAAGATTCTAATAAGTAAATTATTTAACAATTATTACACCTGAACCGTTAGACCACAAAAAATCACTGCCAACCAGCCAATTATACTTTGACTATTATTTTAGGTTCCTTTGAAAAAGATCTATCATTGAAACCTTACACCCTTCTACAATATATGCATAGTATAGTTTCATACCTTTTCTCCATTTTAGAAATCATACTGTTACCCACAAATATTCTCATTTGTACAGGATTTTTAGATAACAATAATGCCAAGATAATAACAGTGAGGAGGAAAAACCATAAAAGCTACAGCCAAAAGCCAACCTGATTCTTCAATAGTTCCAGAACACATTCCTAGTCTTGCTCTGACCAAGCCTTTCTGCAAGGGAGGAGGAAAAAGATTACTCCAACTGGCTAAAGACACAGTTTCTTTCTGAGTCCAAAAACCAAACCAAACCAAACTCACTGCCATGGAGCTGGATCTGACTTACAGCAACCCCTCTTAGGTTTCCGAGGCAGTGTCACTACGGAAGTAGATGCCCAACCTTTCTTCCGAGTAGTGGCTGGTGGGTTTGAACTGCCAGCCTTCTGGTTAGCAGTCAAATGCCTTACGCACTACACCACTAGAGCTTCCAAGTAGACCAATAATAATACAGTCTTTCTATTCTGAGTGGGACCACCATTTGTGGCTAACAGATTTAATGCCTGATCTAAAATACATAAAATGCTACAATTTCTTTTTGAACATTAAAATGTAGGCATATGAAACAACAGAGCATTATCATTTAAAAAGAATCCAGATACTGTGCTATCAGAAGGAGCTCTGGTAGCGTAGTGCCTAAGGCATGTGAATGCTAACCAGAAGGCTGGCGGTTCAAACCTACCAGCCACTCCTCAGAAGGAAGGTTGGGCAATCTACTTCCATAGTGATACCGCCTCGGAAACCCAAGGAGGGGTCGCTATGAGTTGGATCTGACTCGACAATGGTGTGTTTGTTTGTTTTTGTGTTGTCAGAGAGACCTGAGTTCAAGTCCCACCTCTGCTACTTATTTTGTGACCTTGAATGGTTTTCTTCATCTATAAAATGGGAATTATAATGGTAACACCCTCATATGGTTATTATGAGGATAAAAGAGATTTAGTGCAAAAAAGCTTATCACAGTGTCTGATACACGTAATAGCTTAATAAACCATTATTAACCATTTTGTTAATGACAATATACCCTAATTATTATTGGTAACTTGCCACCTGCTCCAATCAATTATTACAGATAATCAGAATTTTAGAAACTTTAAATTCTATCAGTATATGATACATGTTGTTAGGTGCTGTAGAGTCAGCTCCGACTCATAGCCACCCTACATACCATAGAACAAAACATTGCCTGGTTCTGCGCCATCCTCAAAATCCTTGCAGCCACAGTGTCAATCCATCTTGTTGAGAATCTTCCCCTTTTTCCACTAACACTCTTCTTTACCAAGTATGACATACACATACACATACACTATACTTGGTAAAGTATTCATAAAACATAGTAAATATTAACTGATTCAGATAAAATTCAATAGGCATCCATATTTTTTTTTTAATGATTAAACAATGCACTTTAAGGGTTCTTCTAAGTATTCCTAGACCCAGAAAGAGTGTCACTAATATCATGTATTTTGTTTTAATGAAGACAGTGCTAAAAATATTTCCAGCTAGTAACAACTAGGGAGAAAATATATGCCTGTGAAATGCCCGATCTTTCTGAGTCACACTGGCTAACAGAAAAAAATTTCCCAGGAAATTTAAAAAAAAAAAAAACAGCATACACCATCATTTCTTCATTTTCCTGCCAAGATCCTTACTATTGTACTTAGTATTGTGAAAATGTAATAGTTGTCTACGTTATAAATTGAGAATACATACAGAGCATAGGAACAGGCAGTACTTGATGGGAAAGATAAACTGTCCTCCAAAACTCAGCTGTTTCTCAGTACGCAATTTAAAATTTTTCTTATTGTGTTGATGTTCTTAATTTAAGGTCCATGACTCTTTTTGAAAGTTATGTTTAGGCTCATGTGAGCATTATTTAGGGAAGAGCATATACAGATTTTTACCAAATCCTCAAGCAAACAAACAAAAAAATTATAGGGAGAGAAAAAATATATCAAGGGAAATATTTACTGTACTAGATTGATGAATGTATAATAGTAGTTTTCTATTTAAAAAAAAAAACAGACCACTTTGGCAAAGCAAAGGATGCCTGCAGTGTAGTAAATTACTTAGTGTGGCTTTTCTTCCCATAAGTCTTTGTAAACTCCAAGGTAGGATTTTCTATGAGCAATTGAGGAGCTATCCACCTGGGTTATTTCTGTTGGGCGTGGCACAATACAATGTTCTGGGAGGTTCCCACTCTCTCTCACGTGCTTAGAGTTCTGATGCTGTGATTGGCTAGTTTGACCACCCTTCTGGGCTCAAAAGGAGGCCTCCTGGAGGCAGAACTCTCTCTTAC